TGGTTTCAGCATGAAATCAATTAACTTTACAAACTACTACAACTTTACGACAAAATTAACAAAAAACATGCAATTAGTTCCATCGCGCCACTGCTAGATGGCATTAGTTGTACTCTGAATTGGGCTCGTTTTGTTAACTTCAATAGTATAAAATCATCTCCTATATTTGGAATTGTTAGTGCTTTCTGCCGCTGTAGCATTTATACGGCACTGAATGGTCATCAAGTAATTGAGAAGATTCCGTCCTATTTCTGCTACTTTAACGTTTGGCACTGAACTGTGTGCTTTCACGCTAGTGAGACATACTGTTCGGGTCCATAACCCTGTCAATTTACCCTTTTTGATATTAGAAAACATAAATCTTCAGTCAAATAATTGAGTACCTCTCAATTTTTCATTCTTTTTTTTTTCAAATCAAAATCGGACATTTCTAATAACAAACAAATATTTTGTTGAATCTAGAGTGGCTTTGTGACTTGAAGTGAATTAATTTGCTCTTGGATTCAATATTTCTGTCTTATAACTGAAATACACTTTTGAGACGTTTTTTTTACTATTATCAAGTAATTATTCTCTAGCGTCTATACGGAGAGGATCGTTTTGTTGGATTTAATAAATTTGTCTTCATAAAAAGAATTTTGTCTTTTTCTAAGTTCTTACCGTGTGAACAAATAAAAGCCCAAATGGCGACCATTAGCACGCGGTGTCAACAAGGTTTACAAATAAATATCAATAATGAATTTGAAGGTTTGGCTAGCCCACTATATATGAATTTGATTCAATGTGAACCCACATATGGTTGCAGGGCACAATCTTTTCCAAGATGAAGGTCTGAATGCACTAGTTACACTGTAATGTTGTGACATGTACATAACATATCCCTAGAACAATGTACTGAAAGTCTGAAATAGGTTGATACGGACATGTACAAACAGAACATCCAATAAAGCAAATATTATCAAAGCTATAAACGCCAAGAGCCATGTAAACAACACAATATTGGACCATGCAGACATAATATCATCCATTCCACTTGACACCTGCATTACATCAGGTACACAAATATCATCCATACGTCTGTTACTTTAAAGACTGTAGTCCTGCATCGTGATACTAAACATGCTTTCGATATGCGAAACAATGCTTTATCCCTATGAGTCTACAGTTTACAGTTGTAATTCTAAGCTAGGCTAGCAATAGACACAAATTTACAATCCGTATTCAGTCGATGTAATGTTTATAGCAAGGTGATAACGTAGGTTTTGTAGTGCCAGTGGTGTCGTTGATCAGGTAAGGTGACTAGATTTATGCGGGTAGTCGGAAATGTTATAATCTGAATTTGCTATTGTCTTTGAGTCATATATTCGAATATAATGCGTTGGTGAATTGCAGATTTGGTTAGACAAGTGACAGCAAGTCAAGTTAGTTATGATTCCGACTTGAAATTCTTTTCTATATAGACTCTACCAGTACTTACTGAATTTCTGAAATTAGGATGACGGTATAATGTGGTACTTTGACATTACTAGATCTTCAGAGTAAAATCCATGGTTGAAAAAGTTGTATCACACTACGACCACGCGTCATGAGATGTCGTCTATATACCCTTCGCCAAGGATACAAAGACTCCAACAGACAAAAAAAGCTGTAAATTGTAGGTACGGAAACGGCCCGGAGTTGAAAGCTTTGAAGGAAAATAACTAGGAGAGCTGTCCCCGAATAATGGGATTACAGCTAAGAGAAGAGAGAGATGATGAGGGAGGGAGAATCTAAAATGTAGTTTTGTCAGGGTGTTTCCCTTAATGCCAAGCGATCGGTACCGCGGCCGTTAAATCGCGAAGGTAGACCAGATACGTCGTTGTCATTTACCAGTTTAACATTACTTAATAATGCATTATATTTCATCTGTATGGGTCGCATCCATAAAGGACACGCGGCAGGGTTGGAGTCTCGTACAACGCGGCACACGCGTAAAACATTTTCCGAGTACAATCTATCCGTTGAAATATAAACCGATCGAGCCAGCGACAACCTTTCAACTCCTCGCGAGATTGAAAACGACTCGCCGCCGCTCGAGCACACCACTTCAAACAATCAAAGACTCATTGTATCACAAACTCTATGGAAACAATATCCACAGTGTATTGGCAGAATATCGCGGCGCAATCTGTTGGAAAGCCTCTGTATCGGAACATATCGCCCCGTAACAACCTATCGACCTGTAGGCTCCAATTTGCGGCCCGTTACACACGGAAACAAAAAGTGTTCCCGCTGGCTAGAGTTTAGAACGTTAGGCGACACAGTATTTAACGGCTCGAGATTAACATAGCTTTTAATTTGTTTTAACATCGGAAATCAAACTCACTCAACTCATAAAAGTGCAATACAATTACCTAACCCAAACATTCTTTATTTCATAGGTAAATAAATTTAAAATCGTTACATTGGTTAAACTCTACTACTCATTCGCGATGCAGATTGCCCTGAGAAGAATGATTGGGAAAGTCTAGGGGTTCCTGTTTAGTTTGATTCGGTTTGATTAAGTTTTAGCAAGAAACTGTAAGACAATATCGAAAAAGTACCGACAAATTGCTATCTATGACTATGTAGAGCTGAAGTCCATCGAGTAAAATTATAGTCTCCTAAGGAAATTTGCAGACGCTAGCGAGAATAATAACTTTCTACGTCATCATAATGAACCGTGCCCAGCTGATGTGCCTTTGAAAGTCCCACAGTTGGTTTTAATCATCGACAACATTTATAATGCGCATCTCTAGAACGCTATGATAAAAACTCGTTTGAAAACCGATTGGCACGGACGGTAAACATTGTTTGCACCGGCAGAGGCAATACGTGAACTCCTATTGGCCTGGGAGATACCAGCCTTGCAGTTTCTATTTAAATTACAAACGACCAACTTTTTTTATAAACTAATATGCAACGAAACAGCGGTTTAGCTTTACAATTAACTTATAAAGGCGTTGTTCCAGGAAAGCTATTTTATGACATTAAAAAGTTTCTAATTTGCCCTAAATCAAATAATGTTGTAATGTTTTCGTTAGTACGGTTTTTAATGACTTATAATAAAACAAAACAAATAGAACGACCTGCAATGTAACATAATGTAATACAATGCAATCCTCTCCGTGGCTAAACGGTTACCATGCCGGCTGCCACGCAGAGATTCCGGGTTCGATTTCTGAGCCGGGAGATATTTGTAACGACCTACCTTTATTTTCCTCGTGAGTTTGGGTGTAATTTGCAGTTGTCTATTTGTGCTTTGCAAAAAAAAAAATTTTAGAATTTACAATCAGTAATTAAAATTAATTATGAATATATATAATATATGAATATATAAATTCCATTAACATTCGAACATCCTGCTCGCAGGTGGAAAATTAATCCAATGTACCTAATTTCACTTAAGATCTGTATATTAATTACAATTGTATAAAAATAGAAGTAAACGATATTTAAGGTAGCCCTGATACTGCGCATATGTATTTGTGTGAATATTACTTTACACGTACTTAATTAATTCTCAGCCAGATTCGCCTTTGGCTGAGGTACGTTTCCTGGACTCAGTATAAGACCCCTAGGAAAGTTCGTTTACTAAATACTGCCTACCGTCGAATACGGGACGTCGTCTTCTAACGCTCACAATACTAACCCAGGCCACAGAAGTAGTACTCTCTTTTCAATAAAAAAAGAATTATCAAAATTGGTTCACAAAAGCCGAAGTTTATCGCGTAACATAAATACAACAAAAAACTCCTCTTTTTTTAAGTCGGTTAAAAAGAATATGTAAAAAATTATATAATTCTAAGGCGATAAACTTTGTTACACTATATTATATCTGTGGCTTAGTACAAGTGCCTAAATCCCTATTAGTCCCAAAGCACTTCTTGTTTCCAACCACAGACATAACATAGGGAAATATTTATTTTGCGAATTACACTTTTGTACATATATATATTTCAATTACTTATTTCAAATTGTATTTTACTGTGCGAATGCGAGTTATAATTAGTAGCATGGTATGTCTTCGACATTCTCCATTATTCGTCTTATATTAGTATAAGGCGAATACCTAATGGAAAATGTCGGAAAGAAAAACGAACAGAAACAAAAACGATTTCCACAGGAACATCATTAAACCGTCATGTACTTTGCAGAGCGACGTTGATTGGAACTACGGAATATTAATTTCCGAAGGCTTTAGCGCGATTCGTTTTTTTAAAAACACAAGAACTGAATGCCAACATCCGGTTTCATCCGACTGTGATCCGATGCAATTTGACCGGATTACTTTTGCAAACACGTAGGAACTGCTGATGCAACCCGTGGGTGTAATCCCGGTTTGATTAAGTTCTTTTATTTACTTTGCAAAGAGATTCATTGGCGAGTAAAGAGCCTTCAAGATAAAACTTGTTTCTATACGCATAGTTCACTATTTGTTTTACCTGAGAGGGTCCGGTTACTTATATTAAACAAGTATAGTGAAATAGAAGCTATTATATACCGGAGCTCGCGGGTACGCGACGCGGACGAAAAGTATTTCAAATATTGTACAGACATATTATTTTATTTTTAAGACTAAGCGTCGTTCATTCAAAGATTTTTAATATGTTGCTTGCCTCAACCGACAAAACGAGAAAATAAAAGATTCTGTATTTTTGTATGTAGTATTAAGTGACATTACAATTCATTAATAGACTAACATCCTTTATTAAACACCAACACGTGACTACTTGTTTTTGAGATACTAATTTGGAAGATAATATTTATAATGAAGATAATTTCATGTCGACTTATCAATATTTTCATTAATAAAAATTATTCTTGGTAATGGCGCAGATCGAAAGGGTTAACATCTTTTAAGTAATGTAGTATCTCTACAATGTTTAAAGTACTTTCCCTCCCCACCCTAAGTTCAAGTAGTGCATACGACATTGTGCACGTGAATGAAAATAGTGATTATTAATACTTAGTGAACGAACCTCAAACGGAGCCTCGCCATGGTGCTTGTTGTTGAGGATGAGGAAGGAGCAGAGTGGACCTCGTGCGCGGATGGCAGGCGTAACCTCCACCAGCGTCTCATTTTCGCGGATTAGTCCATGGTACCCTTCCTCCGGCTCCGCCAGCTCCAGGTATGGAATGTCTGCAACAAAAGAGGGTGCCAATCAGAAATGGTATTTTAATATCTTTTCCATTATTCATGAAGTCTATTCTTGTCGTGGCCAAAATTTGCTACGCGCACTGCGCTATACTCATATTACATAACATTAAAATTACAACCCGTACGCAATAAACAACTCGTTGTATATTTCTTCATAATTATATTATATTTTTAACCGACTTCGAAGAAAGGGAGCTTCTCAATTCGACTGTTTGCTTATTGTATATATGTTAAGCGATAACTTTCTTTTTTGTAGTAGATTTGTGAACCTATTTTGGTGGTTCTTTTTTGTTGGAAGAGGGTACCTCAGTAGTGGTTCCATTAAAGTTTGAAGAAAATATTCCACCTCTAAGGGTGGCAAAGATAATGCCGATGAAAAGAAAAACCTACATAACAGAATCAAGGTTATTTAATTATATCCTGATTGTTCTGCCTAAAAAGAATCTTACTGAAATGTAACTCAATTAAAACATCACAAGTGTGCTTTATGATTGAAGATGGTTTCTTTTGGAATTCAAAAGAGGAGAGTCCTTACAAAGGTCAATAGTGCTTGACAAAGGCCGAGTACTTTCTCGAAATTGATCTTCTAACGAGGTAAAAAGCTATTAAATTTAATGGATTAAAATTATTACACTTCGTAATTTTTAATAAACGTTAATTCAGACGTCTCTCATGAGATTGTTCAGCCATCAGTTGCATAGCCATTTTCCCGTGTCACAGCACACGTCGTTCTGCTTTCAAGTTTTCAGAAAATGGTCTTTCCTCTTTTATATTTTCTTGCGTTTATATACTCACGCCTTTACTTTCCACTAGGGTAGGCAGAGATTATCGATCACCACTTTTATGATCCTGGCAAACCTCTCTTGCTTCACTTACATTAATCAATCTTTTGAAACAAGTCCATAGTCTTCTTAGTGCGCACTACAGCTTTTTTTAAGAACATTTTAGATTTGATCTGAGTGCGCCCTTCGTGTTCGTCTTGTCACTTTTTTCAATTGTTTTATTGGTCCTACTCCTTGACGTAATAAAACTTATTATCTTTATTTTAACACTCTCTTTTTACAACGACGTATGAATGAAACTGAACTTCGCTCTTTCTCTCCACACATATGATATCATGAAATACTATGTAAAGTATCTCTAGCACACAAGGCGCTTCGCCTCGCCGCCGCCGCCGCCGCCCCGAACTATGCTGAACTCATGCAGAGTTTCTCCTCTGCGAAGCTACTTAGCCTCGTACATGGTACAGGGCGTGCAAATTCGAGTGTTTCAAGACTCTTGTGACTCGTTGAAAAGTTCGTTTAGTTTCGATACGCTCAAATGTCTGCGTCACCAGTAGGTACTACTACAGCACATTTTACTTGTAGTGTTGGTAGCATTAGGTGTGTAGATTTATTCAATGCCATTAAACTTCTGTGTTGTTTCTCTGTTAAATGGTAACCAATTTGTAGTAGTTTAAATGGACGCGATCAGTTACAAATGATTAATATATACCTCCTCAATCTATCTATGCTAGGTACGTGGGTTTTGTTCAGTCTTCTAAATAACAACTTTAAACTAAACATTATACGTGAAGAAATAGCCTTTATTTTGAAATCTTTATTTGATGTTCGTCGTAATGCCAATAGCGAAACTCAAGCGAATTGTACAGTAAATCTGGAGGCCATTACATAAGGGACGGGTACTTAATAGCAACGTCAAGTAGCGGAGTTAATAAAGACGCAAGGTTCAAGGTAATCGCCCGACCTGAACAGTAAAATTTAATAATTCGCTGGACGAACTAGGGGAACTATCCATAATAGTGATCCAAGCCATCACAATGGCTCTATGGACTTAGGTGAAGGTACGGGGATGGTGTACAATAACTTATAATATAAATATTCTCCTTCAAAACATATTAGACAATATATAAAATTATATTATAGCACAACTAAAAATAATCTTTCCTCAATCATGCGTACGGCAAAGAAATGGAAAACACTACCGTTTTAACCATTTAAACATTAACGTTTCCGGAAATCTATAATTTTAGGGCTATTCAAGGCTACAGACATTTATTGACTTGGAAAGTGTGACCAAGCGTACGGCCTTTTCCCACAATGAAAAAAAAAATCCCAACTCTAAAGTGTTTTCAAAATAAACCTTGTCGTCGACCGCGTCGTGCGACTTGGGTGAGGCAAAGTCCAACGTGTACGCCTGCTAAGCCCGGCCACGTTTAACGAGGCGGTCCTAAGGCGCGTCCTTGACGTCCTTGGCGACTGGGCGTGCTGACCATGGGCAATTAGTAACTTAAACTGCTGCTTTTAGAGCCGAAGGACCGAAAAGGGGTGGACAGGTAAGATGGCGACATTGTTTGGGACATTACACCTATTTGAGACATTGATAATGACAAATGTTATTGGCAGTAAATGTAAAATACAGACATGAAATATACATATTTCTAGGAACATATTACCACACCTATCACGTAATAGTACTTATACGAATTTGTAATAAATTTAATACAGGACTCAATAGAATATTAAAAACATAACATATTCTTATTAATCATTTACATTTCAAATAGCTGCATATTTTTTATGATTACAGTATTCTTGAATGCAACAAAAGCAACGGTTAAACAACCACGTGGAAAGCCTTCTCCGAAACATAACTTGGTGTATTTTTAAATTCAGGCGGTAACGAATTATATATTTTACACACATGGGAATATAGGTACGATAAGTAAGAAAAAAAGTCGCGATTGGCTAATGGTTTCACCTGCCGCCTCTCAAGCAGAGGCTGTGGGTTCTAATCCTGGACCGTACTTCTGAGTTTATGTGCGAAATTGTATTTGAAATGTATCACGAGTCCTTCGGTGAAGGAAAACATCGTGATGAAACCTGCACGTCGAAGAAGGTTCGCAACCCTCGGGAAAGGTGGGAAGTCACAAACCGCATTGGGCCAGCGTGGCGTGCTATGGCCAAAACTCTCGCCTGAGAGGAGACCCGTGCCCAGCGGTGAGACGTATAAATGAGTTGATGATGATTATAAATAAGTCTGTCCTTAGAAACTTTGTGTTGAATAAAGGTTCATGACGTTCGAACGAAGAAGAGTTTTAGATAACAGAATTATTGTCAATGTTTAATTCTTGAAAGCGACATCCGCCCGGAGTTAAAGGTGACACGTCTCAAATTGATCGAGTGCTTTTGAGAAATATAGTAGTCTACTAGTTAAGCATAATACTGTTCATTAAATTAATTAAAGTGTATGCTGTAACTTGACAATCAAACGAATTGAGGTGAACGCGTACACCATTAAGTCGATTTTATTTAAGAGATAAAAAGACAGTGTTCAAATGGAATTTTACGTGAAAGTGACTAACAGATAAGGGGAAAAATCTGTTTACGTTACAGTTAGTAACAGCCAAGCTAGCGTGGAATGTAAATATAAAGGCAAACGCATGATGTTGACATTTCGCTTCCATTTCAGGCTGTCAGAACAAGATGACGCGACGGTGCCGTTTATACGGCTAAGAAAACGACTGCGAAAACGTTTGTCGACAAAATAAGTACATGTGAAGCCAATATAGGCTAAATTTTGAATTAGATACAATACATACATTCCTTATTTAAAGAATACGTTGTTAGAACGCTCTGAAATAGAATATAATTAAAAAGAAGAAGATAATTACAGTGTTGTAAGAGAGCGTTGTGGTGTGAAAGTTGATGTAGTGACTAGGATAGAGAGGGGATGCTACGGTAGTTTGGTTATGTAGAAATAATGAGTGCTGGTAGATTGATGGTACACATTTATAGAGCGAATGTGGATGGACGCGTGGGAGATCTCGGCGTACAAATCTCGATCAGATTGGGGACGTCCTCAAAAAAGGCCAGGCTAATAATAACAAGGAAAAACGGAGTTTGTTAGGAGCGTAGCCCGATACAAGTCCATGGTCTCTGCCTATCGTGATGATATGTACGTAGATAATAACATAGAATACATTGTCAATGTCCAACTAATTTTAGCACATGAAATACACCAAACGCAGTTTTAATATCTCCAATTTTCCAACGCCAAACGCAGAGCTTACAAACTTAAGTCGATTAAGTAGATTGGCGGGTATCGCAGTGGAACCGATTACAACACAACGCGACGGCATCTTATTGAAATAGGAGCATTCTCTTCTATATAACAGATTAGTGTTTTTAGTAGAAATGGTGGATTTATTTTATTCAGTGAAACCTGCTTCGAATTAATGTGTAAAGAATTTTATTAATGAAACATTAATTTAACGTTTACATTCTGTGTGACTATGCCACGTTTTTACATACTTGAAATCATGAAAATAGTATCTGTTTCTAACGCGCAAAATAATATAAAAGAATTTCACGTAAATCGCAGGGGACGCGTGGTGAGTGTCAGTTGGCTTTAACGGGTTCTCTGCGCTAAATCCCCAAACCCAGGCATTGGAAATCATACAGGGCTCGTTTAATGAGCTCCAGGTGTTACTACCGTGCTATCATAGTGGGAATTATGTTACACTTCAAGCAGTAGCAGACTAGCAAAGGCTTTCAAGGCCTTACATTTATTTCTTGGTAACGAAATGTTCTAGGTATCATAATACTCTTAGGTACTTGGTATAATAATCTTATTAGGTTTCCTCTTTGGTATAACAACAGACGAGGAATAAAGAACAGATATCTATTTCATTTTAATAACAAAGTCAATATAAATGTTGCGATATATTTTCCAAAACCTCGAAGGATAACATAATCTTACCTACTTTTAAATAAGAACACGAATATCACAAAATCCGATGATCTTCGACCCGTTGCGCAACGTCGTGGAGTCGTAAAGGTTGCGGTTTGATTCTCGGTTGGGTTTATGTGATCGGGCGATGTTTTACGACTGATCTATCCCTGATCTGCGTGATATCTCTACTCGGTTGTTAGTATCGTGACATTTTGTGCCGGCCGAGGGTGAAATGTAATCCAATATTA